CGAATCGGATCGCGCGGGACTGCGAGAGCCCTGCGCTTCCAGCGAGAAGGGTGACCCGGGATCGGGCCGCTCTCCGCTACACCGAGTAAGTAAAGAAACGATGAAAGTAGTGGTATTTCACTGTTGAACCGAAGTTCTCCCACTTATGCTACACCTCTCATGTCTCTTCACAAAGCCAGACTAGAGTCAAGCTCAACAGGGTCTTCTTTCCCCGCTGATTTTTCCAAGCCCGTTCCCTTGGCTGTGGTTTCGCTAGACAGTAGATAGGGACAGTGGGAATCTCGTTAATCCATTCATGCGCGTCACTAATTAGATGACGAGGCATTTGGCTATTTTTTTATTTTTTATTTATTTACTTATTTCACATATTACCCTGGCTATACACCATTAGTCACCCACCGTACCTGGCGCATTCGCGCCTTACATGGCCAAAGGCCACCGACCCTCAGTGTAAGTCAGTTTCATATATATATAGAGAGAAGCTTAACTCTGTTTATTTTTACTGTGGTATCACAGGTCGTGGGACTTTCTTTCTAGGAACATCTGCCATTCACCATGGCTTCATGATGCGTTTTCCCCATTTCCTCTTTGTACTTCTGTTATAGGTCGTGCAACATTTATGTGTTTGTTCTAGGACTCTTATCGCCGCAATGTTCAGATCTTTTGGTTTAAGGCCGATGTGCCTCAGGTTATTGGCTGATGTTTCCGCCATATTCCCCCGCCATGTGAATGTTATAGTGGAAAGTTTTATATCTGCTGCTTTTGTTCTGGTCTTTATCCAGTCACGTATCGTCTCGTTGTAATAGTGGCTTTTTCTCTCATGTAGGATTTCTGGGTCATCATAGTCAGTCATTTACCACTTGGGTGTCAAGAACGTGGGTGATATTGTCTAATGTAGCGAGTAAGTCTGGTTTTCTTCGTCCGGCTGGAGTTGGTATCTCCGGTTCTTTAATTATTTCTGCACCTTGCTCTTGTAGGCGGCTTGCAATAAGGTTTGTTAGCGAGTCATGTCTTTTTATTCGGGATCCGTGAGTTCGACTACGTGCTTGGACGATGTGGCTAAGGCTTTCACGGCTATTGCAACCTGCTTCGCACATTGGTGTTTCTCTTCTCCCTCTTGATGTTCTTGCTCTCTGCTTGGCAGCAGATTTCCTTGGATTTTGATGGCCGTTATAAAAGATGATCCCTTTTGGAGTTTATTGCTGTCCGTTTTCCATGTGTGGATATAAGGTACTTTGTTTGAGTGCCTCAATCCCCTTCCGTCTAACATTGTGTATAGGTCGAGAGCGGTGTTTCTGAAGATGTCTTCTCCTGTTTCACAAGATTTTCCATTGATTTGAGGACTATCGATGTTTTGGACCGTGTTTTTGAAGTCTGATGTTAAACTTCTAACAAGTGGGTGGCTGGAGTTCACCGTTCTGTCCACATGCCTCATTTTCCATAGTGGGATCCATTTGACCAGTTATTTTATTTCAAGACCTCCATCTGCTGCCCTGGCGTGAATGAATGTTATGGGGGTGTCCTTGGGGAGTTTAAGCCATGATCTGATGGACTGTCTGATGGTTTTGTCGAGCGTGTTGATGGTGTTTTTTGTGTAATTACCCCACTAGGGCGTGGTACGTCATCTTGGGCAGAAAATGCTGTCTTAAAAGGTACATTCTTTGCTGGGGTTTGTGTGGTGCTTTTGTTAGTTGGAGGAGTCCGTCTGTGAGGATTTCATTAATTTTTCCTCTTATTCTCCCATTTGGTGATACCATAGCCCCAAGGGAGCGAACTTCGTCCTATGTATTCATGGCTGGGATTTTCTTGCCACCCAGGGAGAATTTACCTGGGGTAATTATTACTTTCTTATTCCTAGTGATCTTAGAGATGGTGATGCATTTGGAGGGGTTAAACTGTAGACCTGCCTTCCGTGCTTCTTTCTCGAGATGGTTTAGGTGTTGTAAACCGGCTGCAGAAGATGTTACAATACATAGGTCGTCGGCGAAGGCTATTACTTTCAAGGATTCCTCTCCTATTTTAATGCCAAGTGTTTTGGGGATGAATTCTATTATCTCGTCAATTACTGAGTTGAATAATATTGGCGAGAGCGGGTCACCCTGCTCCACGCCTCTTGGCATTTGGATTTCTGTTTCCGGTTGTATGTTCAATGATGTTGTGCAGTTCTCATAAGCGTTTTCGATGTACTTCAGGAGTCCGAGAGGTGCTCCTTGACGTTTGGCGGCTCGAATGATGGAAGCGTGATGTACCGAGTCAAACGCTTTTTGTATATCTAAGAAGCCAATAAAAGTCGCTTCCTTCCGTTTAAGGATGTGTTGTAGGATAAGAAGGTTTTCTTCACACCAGCTAGCTGGAATGAAGGCTCTTTGCAGCTGGTTTAAGCTAAAGGATCTGCTACACCTTGCTGCTAGTATTCTATGAAAGAGTCTTTTTAGACCTATCACCATCGCTTCAGTTATAACGTCTTCAGGGTGGAGTGGTTTATCTATTTCAGGTAACAGTGCTGTTTTGTGTTGCTTGAAGTTTTTAGGGAGATATCCAGTTAAGAGCCATAAGTTAAACATCTTTAATAGAAGAGTCTTTTCCATCTTGTTTAGCTCTTTCTAGACGAGGCATTTGGCTTTTTTTTTAAAGTGTTTGCTTTTTGCTCCCTTCCACTAACCTGATGGAGAAAGGCCAGTGGTGGGCGCCGAGAAACTTAACTCATTCTATACTGCAATCATCGTTAAGATATCACAGTAATGGGTATCAAACACCAGCGCATCTGCCGTGTTAGGGCCTCATTCGGTGACTCCCCTACCTTCTCATGGTGCTACAATTGTACTTTCTCCAACAAATGTAGGTATATTCTAATACCTTGACCGTTGCGAGAGTAAAGTCCCTATTAGTTAGTCCAAGTTTCTTTAGGTCGACTGCTGAGGTTTTTGACATGCAGCCTCGGCAGTTGAATGTTATTGTAGACACAGAAGTTAATGATGTTTTTGTTTTTTCTTTAACCCACTTGATGATCTCATCGTTGCTGTAATATATTTTCTTATTTTGGTGTAGAGTATCAGGATCATCAAAATCATTAACTATCTGCGTGTCCAGGACGTGAGATGTCAGTCCGTCACTGATTACTAAATCTGGATTCCGCAGCCCTGCTGAAGTTCTTATTTTAGGCTCTATAATTGTTGTGTATCCCATATGTTTTAATCTTTCATCAAATAATTTGGTTACCATGTCATGCCTTTTAATTCTCATAGAATGGGTCCTGGTGCAGGCTTGCACATTGTGGCTCGATGATGCCCTACTATTGCAGCCCGCTCCACACATGGGCGTTTCATTCCTTCCCCGCGATGCCCTGGCCTGTGTTGGTAGAAGGTTTCCATGTGTTTTAATTGAAGAGATATACAGTTTTCCCGTTTGAATTTTGTTCCCGTCAATTTTCCAGTTGTGATTGAGGGGCATTGCACTTGAGAATCTAAGCCCTCTACCGTCTAGTTTCTTGTAGAGGCTTTCAGATGTGTATTTGTAAAGATCTTCTAATGTTCTGCAAGTATTACCCTCGATTATTGGTAGTTTGACAATTTGGAGCGTTTGATTGGATGTTCTTAATATTGAGAGAATTATAGGATGTGTTGAGTTGGTCAATCTTTGTCTACGGCGCTCTTTTAGGAGTGGAATCCATTTCTCTAGTTGCCATATTTGTAGGCCCCCTTCTTTAGCCCTGGTGTGAAAAAAGGCTATTGGCGTAGCTTTAACCACTCACGGATTGTTTCTCTTATGATTCTGTGAAGTTTCATTAAGGTGTTTTTGTGGAGATGCCCAATCCCTGCGTGGTAAATAATTTTCGGTATTAAATGCGCTCTAAGTAAGACCATCCGTTGTTGAGGTTTTAGGGGAGCTTTGGTTAATTGGGTGATACCTTCCTGGAGGATCTCCAGAGTCATTCCAATTAATTTACCAGTAGGTCTTACCATAGCCCCGAGGTATCTTATTTGGTCTTCAGACTTTAAAGGTGGTATCATCTCATTATTGATAGTAAAGTCTGTAGAGGTGATAATTGATTTCTTAATAATCGTGGTATTGGAAATTGTGGCTGATTTTGATGTATTAAAAATCAAGCCAGCGTAACTAGCCTCTCTCTCCAATTCCTTTAATGCGGCCTGAAGTCCAGCAACCGAAGATGACATGACACATAGATCATCCGCAAAAGCCATGATGTTAAAGTTTGTGCTCTGCAGATTTAGACCTATTTGTGTGGGTATAGTTGTTATAATGACATCATTAACTGCATTAAATAGTATAGGGGAGAGAGGGTCGTCTTGTTTCACACCTCTGGTCATGTTTATTGTTACGTCGGGCTGTATACTTAGTGTGGTGGTACAATCTTCATAAGCATTTCGAAGGTGTTGAATAAAATGACTAGGTGCCCCTTGACGTGTGACTGCTCGCATGATAGAATCATGGTGAACAGAATCAAATGCCTTTTGGATGTCAAGAAAGGCGATGTAAGCAGACTTCTGTTTCAGAAAGTGTTCCAGTAGGAAGGTGTTTTCTTCACATCCACTTGCTGGTATGAAAGCTCTTTGTAGTGGGTTGAGGTTAAACAATTTAGCACACCTAGCTGCTAGGATCTTATGAAAGAGTCTGACTATAATTGATGAAATGGTGATAGGTCTGAAATCTCCTGGATGTTGGGGATTATCTTTTTTGGGGATTAATGTTGTTTAATTTTTAAGACTCTTATGTAGGTGACCGGACAATAACCATAGGTTGAATAGTTTTAATAAGTAGGTCTTGGACATTTGTTTAAGCAGTTTGGTGGTAACACTATCTGGGCCCGGAGCGGAAGTTTTAGTCAGCTTAAGTTGATCCTTAAGTTCTTTGATTGTAATGGGTTTTAGCTATTCAAGGTTTTCAGGTGGACTTGGTGTTGCTCTCTGGTCGATTTCTTTAGGGGCTTCGAATATATTTTTCCAAAATGTCACCTGTGTACCGGGAGATATACGTATTGGCTCCATGTCTTTCCATGTGCCATCCAGACAGGTTTTAGCGCATTTTGTTCTATCCTTTAGATAGAGTTTTTGTATTCATTCATATTGTTCTTGTCGTTTTCTTCTATTAGATGTGCTAACTGGCAAGATGATGTGAGTATTATGATAATTCCTTGGTTTTTGGTTTTTGATTGTTTTTCCTGCATGTTCTTCTAAGTTACCTTTGATGGTATCATTTTGGTAGTTGGTAATAATGATATCAAGTGCTTTTTCGTTTTGTGTCATTCCAGGTGGTATTTGTCTGAGGTGGTCAAGTATTATATGACTCCAAGTGAGATCGTTTTCTTCTGGAGGTAGCGTATTTGGGCGTTTTCTTCTTCAGGTACTGTAGGAGTTGGTTGTAATTGGTCGATCTGTGTAGGAGAATTTACAGTAGGTTCTTGTAATGAGGATATGATGTTTATGTATTTAGGTTGTGTCCTACATTTAATAGATTCTAATGTTCTTCCGGGTAGGATATTTCCCGAGAAGATATGATGATTAATATCTTTGATGCCTGGCTCTTTGGCATTTATTTCTGCTTTTGCAAGTAGAAAGTCCTCTTCAGGGTCCCAACGCCGTTTCTTTTGTGCGGTATTTTGCTTCTCATAATATAAATTCGGGTGTTTTGATTTTAATTGCAACCCAAGGCCAATTTCAGATGGAAAAACTCGAGCACAAGCTTCACATAGAAAAGTGTTTATGATGTTAGGGAGATTTACCTCAGGCAATGGTTCAGGTATCACATCTGCAATTGCATGTCTATGCCTTTGGTGATTTAATAAGGCAGATTTTGTTTTGAAGCTTTTCTGACATGCAGCACAAAAATGAGGTGGATTATAGGAGGAAACGGAAGCTGCAGCAACAAGGGTTGGTGAGGGAGCTAACCTGCTGGTGTCGTCCACCCGTTCAGCATTATCTGGGAGGCTCGCTCTGAGGAGCTCACCTGACACGGACGAAATATCATTAGAACATGCCATTCAAGATTAGAGAGAACTTTATGGAAGTTCCATAAGGGCGACGCCTATAACTTCTCACTAACGTGAGCCTCCCTGCCGCCTTGAGGCGTGTAGGTGGTCATTCCTGAGAGATCACGAAGGATCCCGAAGGATCAGGGGAAGTTATCGCCCCGGACTGTTAGCTTCACCCAAGGGAGTACGAGACTACCAAGGGTTACTAACGACTCTCACCACGTGGAGGTAGTCCTGGGACTTAGGTGAAAAAAGTTTCCATTTTTTTTATTATTGCATTTTACTATTCAATATATTACCCTGGCTATACACCATTAGTCACCCACCATACCTGGCGCATTCGCGCCTTACATGGCAGAGGGTCAGTGGCCTTTGGTGTAAGTCAGTATATATATATATATATTGAGAAGCTTAACTCTGTGTATTTTTACTGTGGTATCACAGGTGACTATCACAGTTCGTGGGACTTCCTTTCTGGGAACATCTGCCATTCATCATGGCTTCATTATGCGTTTTCCCCATTTCCTCTTTGTACTTCCGTTATAAGTCGTCCAACATTTGTGTGTTTGTTCCAGGACTCGTATTGATGCAATTTTAAGGTCTTTTGGTTTAAGGCTGAGGCGCCTTAGGTCATTGGCTGATGTTTCCGCCATAATCCCCCGCCATGTGAATGTTATAGTGGAGAATTTTACGTCTGCTGCTTTTGTTCTTGTTTTTATCCAGTCACGTATCGTTTCGTTGTAATAGTGGCTTTTTCTCTCATGTAGAATTTCTGGATCATCATAATCGTTTACCACTTGGGCGTCAATAACGTGGGTGATGTTGTCAAATGTAACTAGTAGGTCTGGTTTTCTTATTCCGGCTGGAGTTGGTATTTACGGTTCTTTTATTATTTCTGCGCCTTGCTCTTGTAGGTGGCTTCCGATTAGGTTAGTTAGCGAATCATGTCGTCTTATCCGGGATCCGTGAGTTCGACTACATGCTTGGACGATGTGACTGAGGCTTTCACGACTGTTGCACCCTGCTTCGCACATCGGCGTTTCTTTTCTGCCTCTTGATGTTCTTGCTCGGGTAGGGAGCAGATTGCCTTGGATCTTGATGGCCGTTATGAAAGCTGATCCTTTTTGTAGCTTGTTGCCGTCGGTTTTCCATGTATGGATATAAGGTACTTTGTTCGAGTGTCTCAGTCCCCTTCCGTCTAACATTGTGCATAGATCTAGAGCGGTGTTTTTGAGGATGTCTTTTCCTGTTTCACAGGTTTTTCCATTGATTTGGGGGCTATCGATACACTGGACCGTGTTTTTGAATTCGGATATGAGATGTTTAACAAGGGGGTGGCTGGAGTTCGCCATTCTGTCCACCTGTCTCTTTTTCCAAAGTGGGATCCATTTGCGAGTTGTTTTATTCCAAGACCACCATCAGGTGCCCCGGCGTGAATGAAGGTTATCGGGGTGTCCTTGGGGAGTTTAAGCCATGATCTGATGGACTGTCTGATGATTTTGTCAAGCTTGCTGATGGTGTTTTTGTGTAGTTTCCCTACTAGGGCGTGATACGTTATCTTGGGCAGCAAATGCTGCCTTAGGTGGTACATTCTCTGCTGGGGTTTAAGTGGAGCTTTTGTTAGCAGAAGGAGTCCGTCTGTGAGAATTTCGTTAGTTTTTCCTCTTATTCTCCCATTTGGAGAGACCATGGCCCCGAGGTAGCGGACTTCGTCCTCTGGGTCCATGGCTGGGATGTTTTTGCCATCTAGGGAGAATTTACCTGGGGTAATTATTACTTTCTTGTTTCTGTGATCTTTGAGATGGTGACACATTTGCAGGGGTTAAACTGTAAGCCTGCCTTCATTGCTTCCTTTTCGAGATGGTTTAGGAGTTGTTGTAGGCCAGCTGCAGATGATGTTACAATGCATAGGTCGTCGGCGAAGGCTATTACTTTCAGGGATTCCTTTCCTATTTTAATGCCAAGTATCTTGGGGATGGATTCTATAATCTCGTCAATTACTGAGTTGAATAATATTGGCGAGAGCGGGTCACCCTGTTTCACACCTCTTGTCATCTGGATTTCTGTTTCAGGTTGTATGTTCAATGATGTTGTGCAGTTCTTGTAGGCGTTCTCGAGGTACTTCAGGAATCCGAGGGGTGCCCCTTGACGCTTGGCGGCTCGAATAATGCAGGCGTTACGTACCGAGTCGAACGCTTTTTGTATATCTAGGAAATCAATAAAAGTCGCTTCCTTTCGTTTAAGGATGTGTTGGAGGATGAGAAGGTTTTCTTCACATCTGTTGGCTGGAATGAAGGCCCTTTGGAAGTGGTTAAAGTTGAAGGATCTGCTACATCTTGCTGCCAGTATTCTATGAAAGAGTCTTGTTATAACTGAGGCGATAGTGATGGGCCTATAGTCTTCAGGATGGAGAGGTTTATCTATTTTAGGCAGCAGTGTTGTCTTGTGTTCCTTGAAGTTTTTGGGGAGATACCCAGTTAAGAGCCATAAGTTAAACATCTTTAGTAGATGAATCTTTTCCATCTTCTTTAGCTCTTTGGTTGTGATCCCATCAGATCCTGGTGCTGTAGTCTTCGTCTTCTTTAGTTTATCAAATAACTCTTTAGCGGTGATGGGGGTTATAAGTTCCATTTTTCGGATGTTGGTGGGATTCATTATCGTCTTTCTCTCCTGGGGCGGAGAAGATTTTACTCCAGAAAGGCATGCCATCCTGGTGTCAAACCCAAGTCCCAGGACCACCTTCACGCGGTGAGAGTCGTCAGTAACTTAAAGAGAATCTGGCAGATTCTTTTTAAGTGAAGCGAACGGTCCGGGGCGAATCAACACCCCTAGACTCCGGGGGACCGGGGAATGGCCACCTGCGCGCTACATTGCGGCGGGGGGGCCCATCAACTCTTTCATCGGAAGTCGGAACGGCGACAGTTCGTCGACACACACCTCTCGTCTCCTTCTTTCTTTCTTTCTGTCGGACCTCGGATCAGGCGGGATTACCCGCTAAATTTAAGCATATCATTCAGCGGAGGAAAAGAAACTAAAGAGGATTCCCCCAGTAACGGCGAGCGAACGGGGAAGNTGTTTCCCTCGAGATTTGCAAGTGGTGGAGAGATGCCATCCCTCCTGCCGACGAGCGAAAGTCATGCGACGCACTCGATGCGGCGTCGCACCACAACTGCAAGGTGGCGACGAACACGGCACACGGAGTCCGCTCGGACTCGGAATCGTGTGCGTGCGGTCCGAGAGAAATCTCGCCCAAAAACGAGAGTAACCCGGACGGCGGGCACCATCGGCTAACCGAAGCGACGGATCGCTCGGGAAGGATCGTCGACCGAGTGTGCGAGACGGCCGGATATCAAGGGCGTGCACTGGCGCCTCTGGCCCGTCTCGCCGGATTCGTGTCTTGACGAGCACCCCCGGCGGTCGGCCTCGTGCGTAGGATTGCCGTGGATGTTCCGAGAGAAAATGTCTGGCTGTTACCTGGTTGATCCTGCCAGTAGTCATATGCTTGTCTCAAAGATTAAGCCATGCAGGTCTAAGTACGTGCCGAAATAAGGTGAGACTGCGAACGGCTCATTACATCAGTTATGGTTCCTTAGATCTCCGACGTTTTACTTGGATAACCCTGTTAAATCAGAGCTAATACATGCCTAGAAGCCCCGACCCTTAGGTGGGAAGGGGCGTTTTTATTAGATCAAAACCAGACGGGGACTTGTGCCCCGGAACTCTCTGGTGACTCTGGATAACTTTGGACGGATCGCACGGTCCTGGCACCGGCGACGTATCTTTCAAATGTCTGCCTTATCAACTTGATGGTAGGTTATGCGCCTACCATGGTGATAACGGGTGACGGAGAATCAGGGTTCGACGCCGGAGAGGGAGCCTGAGAAACGGCTACCACATCCAAGGAAGGCAGCAGGCACGCAAATTACCCACTCCCGACACGGGGAGGTAGTGACGAAAAATAACGATACGGGACTCATCCGAGGCCCCGTAATTGGAATGAGTACACTTTAAATCCTTTAACGAGGATCTATTGGAGGGCAAGTCTGGTGCCAGCAGCCGCGGTAATTCCAGCTCCAATAGCGTATATTAAAGTTGCTGCGGTTAAAAAGCTCGTAGTTGGATCTCAGTCGCGGTCGGGCGGTCCGCCGCAGGGCGGCACTGCTCGAACCGGACAATCGGCCGGTTGCTCCCGGGATGCTCTTCGCCGGGTGTCCCGGGTGACCGGAACGTTTACTTTGAAAAAATTAGAGTGCTCAAAGCAGGCCGGTCGCCTGAATAGTCGTGCATGGAATAATGGAATAGGACCTCGGTTCTATTTTGTTGGTTTCCGGAACCCGAGGTAATGATTGATAGGGACAGACGGGGGCATTCGTATTGCGACGCTAGAGGTGAAATTCTTAGACCGTCGCAAGACGAACTACTGCGAAAGCATTTGCCAAGAATGTTTTCATTAATCAAGAACGAAAGTTAGAGGTTCGAAGGCGATCAGATACCGCCCTAGTTCTAACCATAAACGATGCCAACTGGCGATCCGCCGACGTTATTCACATGACCCGGCGGGCAGCTTCCGGGAAACCAAAGTTTCTCGGTTCCGGGGGAAGTATGGTTGCAAGGCCGAAACTTAAAGGAATTGACGGAAGGGCACCACCAGGAGTGGAGCCTGTGGCCCAATTCGACTCAACGCGGGGAACCTCACCAGGCCCGGACACTAGAAGGATTGACAGATTGAGAGCTCTTTCTTGATTTGGTGGGTGGTGGTGCATGGCCGTTTTTAGTTGGTGGAGCGATCTGTCTTGGTTAATTCCGATAACGAACGAGACCCTGGCCTACTAACTAGACGGCGGATTCTTTCCGTCCGCCTCGTCTTCTTAGAGGGACAGGCACGCGCTTAGCTGCACGAAATGGGGCAAAAACAGGTCTGTGATGCCCTTAGATGTTCTGGGCTGCACACGCGCTACACTGACGGAGGCAGCGTGTGTTCCCTGTCCGAAAGGACCGGGTAACCCGCTCAATCTCCCTCGTGCTAGGGATTGAGGCTTGCAATTGTTTCTCATGAACGAGGAATTCCCAGTAAGTGCGAGTCATCACCTCGCGCTGATTACGTCCCTGCCCTTTGTACACACCGCCCGTCGCTACTACCGATTGAATGATTTAGTGAGGACTTCTGACTTGTGTCCGGGGCGGCTCTTGGGTCCGTCCAGTGCGCCAGAAAGTTGTCCGAACTGTATCATTTAGAGGAAGTAAAAGTCGTAACAAGGTTTTCATAGGAGAACCTGTGGAAGGATCCATGGTGGAGTTTTTACACACACCCGCGCTCGTTGAGGCATCTTCCCAGGGGAGAAGAGCCTTCGCCCTTGTCATGGATGAGCGCCCAATGCGATCTTGTTTGGAAACAGCCCGTGAGGATCCGTCCTCCTGCGTTGGCCGAAGGTTATTGGGTTTTTGAAACTAATATCGTGAACCGTCTTGTCGAAGAAAAATGTGATGGTAACTTAGGTAACCATCAACTCCGCATGCCACCCCTGGCGGTGGATCACTCGGCTCGCAGGTCGAGGAAGGACGGAGCCAACTCTGTGAAACACGGTGAAATGCAGGGCTCCAATAGTGAGTATGATGGTATGAGCTGGTTTTCTTTTCGCTGGTTTTCGGTTCTCTTTTCTGTCGGACCTCCGATCAGGCGGATTTACCCGCTAAATATAAGCATATCATTCAGCAGAGGAAAAGAAACTGAAGAGGATTCCCCCAGTAACGGCGAGCGAACGGGGAAGAGCCCAGCACCGAATCCTCTGTCGATGCGACGGCAGGGAATGTGGTTTTCGGGAAGGTCCGCCCCGCGTTTGAGCGCTCCTGACCAAGTCAGGTCTGCAGCGATTCTGACGTGCAAGTCGATCTCTGTTCTAAATTTAAGCATATCATTCAGCGGAGGAAAAGAAACTAAAGAGGATTCCCCCAGTAACGGCGAGTGAACGGGGAAGAGCACAGCACTGAACCCTCCGTCGCTGCGGCGGCAGGGAATGTGGTCGGGAAGGTCCGCCCCGTGTTTGAGACCTGACCAAGTCCAGTGGAATGCGGTCTTTTCCCACAGAGGGTGAGAGGCCCGTTCGGGGTACGCGCTCGCGTGGGATGGGCTTTCCCAAGATTCAAGTTGCTTGAGAGTGCAGCTCAAAGCGGGTGTTAATCTCCATTCAAGGCTAAATACGACTGCGAGACCGATATCCCTTCTCCGGTCTACTGCGGGACTCGAAAAATTCCGACAGGGTGGTCGTCAGTGGAGTGAGGAAAGCCTGAATGCAGGGTGGTATGATAGGCTAGAGAAATAGAAGAGGTACGGCCGAGCCGCAGCTGCTGCTCCCGAGGACGACGGATCGGGCGACGCGCTCTTCTCTCATCGAGAGTCGGTGTGCGTTTCCCCCTCGCTATCGAACTCGCGACGGCGTGCGGTTGTGGCTGCCGGGAGTTCTCGTGCTCCTCCCGGCG